CATAATCCACGGACAGCCTGCGAGCTTACAAGATCTTCCGCAACCCTTTGCGTGGGCTCTAAGCTTTAAAACTACAAAAATTGGAAGAATCAACCCTGTTCGTCACAGCCCCGACAGCCTCTCGAGCATGAGGCAGCCAAGGCCTGATCCTGTTCCGCCGCCGCATGCGTTGTAGACGCAGAATCCTTGGAGTCCTGTGCCTCGGTGACGAAATCGCCCAAAACGATTCAGACTACGGGACAAACAAACGTGCAAACGATGATCTTGCAAGCAGGTTGCAGTTGTCAGCGAGCTTCCTGATGCGGTCCAAGACCAGGTCCACGATCTCTTTGCCGATGGTGTAATGTCCACGAGCGAAATTATTTGCAGCATCCTTGGTCCATGGTTCTTCATCACAACAAAGCGACATGATTGCAAAATATGGTAGCCAAAAATTTTGGCTTTTTCGAAAAAGTGCAAGCTGCTCAATGGGAAACAGAGCAACTTCCTTTCCGGAGATGAGCTGCTCCGGGTGGAAAAGCTGGCGATACGTGCCTGTGCGGACCTCATCCACGACCGTAGGTTCCAAGTCCACCTGCCATTATTTTGTTGTAAATGCGAGTTTATGATATTGAATGCGTGGTTGATGCACAGAGTCCACGTATGACATGTGTAGATACGGCAGCCTCACGCCCGAAACGCAAACATTCTGAAAAAGCCATGGCCAAGCAACCATCACGCAGCGTGGCACGTGCTTGCCCGCCCCGGTCTCGCTGAAAAAGGTATTAAATGCATCCTTATGGCTTCAGAAAGGCACGCATTTTGTTTGAACGCAGACAGATGACATGTTTCAAGTGAGCCGTCTGGGCCAGTGTTGCACACGTTTGATCGACTGACCCCTCGCGCTTGCTGCTCAACAACTCACCCCAGCAAAGAAGTAGCATAGAAAAACGGAAATCATAAGTTGGAGTACATGGGGAAAGAAACTCCTTGCACAGCAAAACATCAGCGATGGTGGCGTGTGGCGATGGCGGTGGCGGTATCGGCGGCGGTGGCGGTGGCGGTGGCGGTTATGGTGATGCTCCTGCTGAGCTTTTATTTTCTCTAGGAGCCATCTGTCCATGGTCGCCTGATCAGGGACAGGGCCGACGCTAAAGATATCGCGCTGGCGCTTCTGCTTCAGCGGTTTGGTCCGGGTAATATTCCGACCAAGGTCGTCGAAGCAGAATCATCGAAGTGGAGTCCACTAATTGCACGTATTCCTCGATGCTTCCTACGACCATATGTTTTGCATTCGCATGGTTGTGCTTGGGTGGTTTAGTGCGGGTGATATACCCGACGAGGTTCGTTCAAGCAGAACTGTTCGAGGCAGAATCCACATGGTCGTGGTCGTGGTGGCGGCACTGCTTTCAGTCTGTCCCCAACACGCAACAAGGGACGACAGGCCAAAAAAATCCTTATTCTAGTGTCCTGTTGTGGTGCTTCCATAGCTCATCGCCAGCATATGCCAGCATCATAGACTGCCATAGCTTTCGATTGAGGATTGGGCAGGGTGAGTTTCAGAATGATTGAAATTCCTGGTCCGGCTGTCCCGACTTTGGCTCTCTTAGTTCCATTGCGCGTGATCTTCGACACGTGTTGCCGTGTTGCTGACACAGAGAAACGCTTACAAGAGCACGGCTTAACCATTTCCGCATGGCGGTCTGGACAGGAGGTTTTGAAGACAAAATTTTGTATTGTTGAGCAGAGCTTTTGAAAAGATCCCATGATCACTCCGGAACGTGTGTGGTGAGAGCGCGACAGGGCCAGTCTAAGCAACATACCAAACAGGAGCCGCTTTCTCCTCTTGATGACGAGGAGGCCATACCTATGTTCAGCGACACCATAATAATATCTTCCTCCAAGTGCGGCGAAGAGGCGTCTCCTCCACCAATCCTGAGATTTCGCAAAGCACGGCTGCTAAATCAACCTTGCGATTAAGGCCCCATGGAGGACCTGTGGAAACCGCCTGCGAATCCCCACAACACCCCCTGCCCCCAGCTGCGGCCCTGGATCGTTTTGTCGGATGGCATCTGGCCGTCCGGCTGGATGCCGTGCTCGAGGCAGAAGAGCTCCCAGCAAGCATTGCCGATCTGGACGCCGCCCTGCCAGCTGCGCTCGTGGCATCAGCTGATTGCGACCCTGAACCCTATGCATCTTCTCCTGGCCCACCCGAAAACTGAGCCACACCAAACCATGAGGGGTGCTAGGGTTAGGGCTGTGGGAGGCCTATCTCTGATGCCAAGGCCCGAATGCCCTGCGAGCCATGAAAACACCGCAAGCAGAAGAATTGGGCCTGGCCGATGTGGATGCAGATCGCCTCACGCATGGCTTAGTACGGAAAAGGGTCGGAAGTCACCTCGCGATGTAGTGGCCTCAGGCACCAATCCTCCTTCTCGGGCCAAACAGCCGCAACATCAAGCACATGGAATAGCCAACTGGTACTTGGCACCACGGCCATCATTGAAGATATAGCGGCAGCAGAAGCAGCACCACCAGCAGCAGCAGCTTAAGCAGAAGCAGCACCACCAGCACCACCAGCAGCACCATCGGCACCAACATTAGCATGAGTACTCGCGCCTGCAACAGCACCAGCACCACCACCATCATGACGAGCAGCAGCAGCGTCAGCAGCAGAAGAATAACCTTCTGCTTCTTCTTAGGGCCATCACTTCTTTTGCAATCATCACCATCCCCATCAGCATACATGCCCCTTTTGGCTAGGATGATGCGCACCATCCGGGTGATATACAGTGTGAGTCATCATCAGGATCATCTTCGCCAGCATCCTCGGATCATCGCGTCTTGACAGCTGCTGCCCACTTAGCATCGGGCCTGAGTAGCATGTCCAGAGCCACCGAGCCTGCAATGGATTTGATAATACAGGACCAGGATTTAATAATACAGGACCATTGTTTGATATTATAGGACCATTATGTCATTATGTGGTAATACACTACCATCAGTACCTAATACATGATCTTGGGGTTGCAGGGGCTTTATTTAGAGGCCCTCCTCCTGCAGGCGGAAAGTCGTTGTTAGTTGTTACCTGCATCGCACCACGACTTGAGTTGGGGCATAGGCATCTGTGTCTAGTGACACCTCGCCCTCAGTTCCACACACGGATCCTAAAATGGCTGCCTCCCTGGCCGTAGCCGAAGAGGAAGATCTCATTCAGGCGCCAACCTTGCACCGCGCAATAGGCTCAGCGCTTCAGGCTTGGGGCTTATATAAGGGGGTTCGGGGTTCAGGTGGGGTTAGGGGTCAAGGGCAGAGGTTTCAGGGCCTGGGATGATTACCAAAACTCTGCTTCACAGTGATGGATCCTGGCTGCAACTCCGCTGGGCCTCCGGCCGAAATCGACGGTAAGGATGCTAATGGCTTTCCAGAGTAGGTCCATGCCTTCACATAGGGTCTGACGACGGTTTACGGGCTTGGGGTTGGGCTTTAGGGTTTGGGTTTCAGGCTTCTGGGATTGGTGGGCTTTACGGTTTAGTTGACGAGACAAGTCTAGACGTTTCAACAGACTTTAAACTTTCCACACAGCTCATCAGAAGATCATTACCCACATGAGCCCTTCACAATGCTGCTAACCTTTTTTGTCCCTGTCGCTGTCTTGCATGAAGATGTCTAACCGTCATAACACGAGTGATGTCGATGCACATGAGCAACATAGAAGCATAACCATAAGCTTCGTCTTCAACAGCTGCATGTAGTTCCTTATGACCAGAACCCTCACAAAAAAATCCGCACAAGCATCCCCGCACGAGCCCTTCACACGTGATAACAGCGGCAGATGTGACAGAAGCTAGACTCGCATGCAGCATGCTGGCCAAGCTAAGAGATTTTTCAACACGGCCATGTTCTTGCATCAGCTTCTCGCAACGAAGAAATCCCTGGGATCCTCGCAGCTCAAGTTTCTCATTGGCGTCCTACAGATAAACCTGCAAACCCCGAACCTTTCCCCTTATCGAACCCTTGCACTATGTCTTTGGGGATCCTTATGAACCCTTTATCAAAGCCAATGAAACCCGCTGTACGACCCCATAAGACCCTTAACCCTAAACCCTGAGCCCTAAACCCTAAACCCTAAACCCTGAACCCTAAACCCTAAACCCCTCTAAAACCCCCCAAAAAAAAATGCCGAGACGAGGCCCTGACTTTCCTCCATCGACTTTAGCCTTCGGCGCTCCTCCCATGTCTAGGAAACAACAGGCCAAGCTCAGGTTTTGGGGGCTTCATAGGGTTTAGGGTGTAGGGTTTAGGGTTTAGGGTTTTAGTCAGGGTTTACTTGGAGGATCATGCAACTTCATAAATAAGGTTAGGAGTACCCTACTTGGGGTTATAGTTCTAGTTACCGTATTTATAACCCAAGTAACTAAGTCCCATGATCCTCCAAGTAGGGTTGGGGAAGTGACGGGATAAGCGTCAGGGTTGGGTTGAGGGCATAGTCCCTGAGTGCTGCTGCTGGAGGCTGCTACTAGCGGTGCAGATGTACAGATACAAGTATCACGATACTGGTGTTCGAACTACTTCATCCCGCATTCGGATCAGACGTTCTGCACGTTCGTCGAACGCCCTTTGCCCAAAAATCGACACCACCACCACCTGGCCCTCAGAGCCATTGAAGCCCGGAGCCCCGAGGCCAGAAGCCTAGTAGGTATATCAGGGATCCTAGGGCTGCAGACAATTACAACTCTTCGGGCCCTTATGTGGAGGTTTCACAAAATAGGGACCCATCACGAAGCATCGACACAATGGGAACCAATCTCCAGAAACCCCGCTTATTCTGCTCGGGAAGCCGTCTCCTTCCGAGACGGCTGGATGAAGTCCTGCCAGCTGTGGCATTCTCCGTACGGGCTCCGCCCCAGCCCAGATAACATGAACCGAGTGCGAAACAGCAATTTCAACAAGAGGTAGAAAAGCAGCCACTGGCAGTATCAATGGCAATGAGAACCCACCAAAAGTAGCAACCACAGCACTCACAGCAACAAGAGTCACAGGGATGCTTCAGTGAGTGAGATGCGAAGAAAGCTGGCACCGCCGACAAGGACAGGAACAACAAACCATGGTGATGCTACGGGTACATGTAAGAAGCAAACGACTACTTGTGACAGCAATGACAATGCTAATGATGATACTGATACCCCAGATAAACTACGAGTAGTATGCGCTGGGATCTTGACTGGAATGACAGTGTCTACCAAACTAGGCGGATGGTGACAGCAAAAGTGGTGGAAACAAAAGTAACGAACAGTTTAGTAACGGGAAGCAAACCTGATAAGGCTGATCATGCTGGTGCTGACAACCAAACTGGGAACAACGTTGGGAGGCTAAAGGTCAACAATGATCCTCTCCGGAGTAGGTACAAAGAGGACGTCAAAAGTGCCTTTGCATCATCGGTAAAAATGCTGCGACTGGCTGTTATTGACTAAAGTCGTGCCAATTGCACTTGCGATGAACCTGATCATGCGGAGTGCAGTGTTTGCTGCAAAGCGGCCCCGGTGTTCTCGTCCCACATGGAAAACCAACTGTGCGAGGGTCATGTTGTCACAGGGCAGAGGGCTACACCGACTGGGTCTTCAATGTTGGATAGCGAAGTTCCTATCAACCACGGATGTTTTTGAACTTCCCTTACAGTGGGGTTCGTGGTTCTGAGCCTGCCTCAACATCTGCCGCTATCATCACGCCCTTACTATCACTACATCACCACTACCATCATCGTCGTCATAAGGATGGGCGTCTCTACATCTCTAGCACCACCACCGCCGCCGCCGCCGCAACCACCGCCACCACGACCACCACAATCATCAAAGACTCTGGGCTCTGGATTCCTGACGCACTCAAAACTTCAGCTCCAAGAGCCTGCCAAACCCGACAAAACCTGACAAAAAGCCTATCAAAAAAACTCACGAGACCTCAAAATCCCTTGCGCAACACTTAAACAGGCAGACACCCTCCGACAAAAACTGTCAAGAATCTCTTGAAGAGAAGCGAAGGCAGCTACTCGGCCCCAAAGCCCAGACCCGCAACCGTGGAATGCAAGTCCTAAGCCCTACTTGGAGGATCATGGGACTTAGTAACTAGGGTTATAAGTAAGGTAACTATAATTATAAACCCAATTAGGGTACTTATAACCTTACTTACTAAGTCCCATGATCCTCCAAGTAAGGCCCCTACCCTGAACCCTAAACCCTAAACCCTTACTTACTAAGTCCCATGATCCTCCAAGTAGACCTTAAACCCTGAACCCTAAGCCCTAAGCCCTAAGCCCAAAGCCCAAAGCCTGAAGCCTGGCGGGTCGTCCAGGAGCTCCTCGGGCAGAGCCTGGCTGATCAGCAGGTCTCGCTCGGTAAGTTGGGGCATGTACAAAAAGATTCCTACAAGGTTTAGGGTTTAGGGTTTAGGGTTTAGGATTACAACCAGGGTTCCAAGAAGGGTTACTGTACGGATAACTTTGCGGGCAACGGGCTGCTATGAAGGTGACTATTTGCTCTGACATTGCGAGGTGTAGGCCTTACGGCACAGGCGCTTGGGACTTAGGTTTAAGGGTTCAGGAGTTTACGGCTGTAGGATTTTGGCTTTGGGTTTCCAGCTTTGGGTATTGGGGTTTAGGCTCTATCTAGGGTTTAGAGTCTCGGCTTTGGGACTAGGGCGCAAGGATTCGGTCTTGGAGCGCGCAAGGTTTGGTTCTAGATACTTGGGTCGGGGGATGAGGCATTCGGGGGCTTAGGGGTAGTGGTGGGCTTCTACTTGGAGGATCATGCGACTTAGCAAGCAAGGTTATAAGTACCCTAATTGGGGTTATAATTATAGTTACCTTATTTATAACCCTAGTTACTAAGTCCCATGATCCTCCAAGTAAGCCCCTGCGCTCTAAGCGGGCAATCTGTAAGACGGTGTCGACGTGAGTTCTACGGCCAGCACAAGCCCGGAAAGACACGAGCAGTTAAGGGCACCGCTACTGCTACGCCTACTGCTGCCACTACCTCCTCCTTCTCCTGTTGCTGCCATAGCGCCCACAACTGCTACTAACGCTACTACTGCGAAAAACAAGTAATAGTAGAAACTAGAATTGTAGCAATCATTCTAAGGAAGAAGACCTTTGAATCTCGCCTCAGGAGCGTTGAAGACAAGGGAAGCGGTCAGCGGCAGCCGCATCTTCTGGGCGAAGTCCACAAAGGGCTCCTCTGCGAGGGTTTTCTGCGGTGTAGAATTTAGCTAGTCGGTCTCGGATATTCTGCAAGGGATTTCAAAAGAGTGTGTGTTTTAGCAGCTTTCTTCTGGGGTCCAGGGTTGCAGGCTTTGGGCCTTTGGGATTGGGTTCACATACAGTTTCTTGGCCGAGCACCTTCCGGCCGCCGAAGCCATGCAGAACGATAAGGAGGTTCCGCTCCTGGGCCAACTACTCAAGGCGGAGAGCACAGTGGCAAAAGCAATCCTTTCAAGAGTTCTGTACCGTGCCTGGGCAGGGTCTCGCTACATGGGGGTTTCCGAAAATAGGGGACCCTAATATAGTACCCTAAATAATAGGATCCTTATTATAAGGACCCCTAAATACGGTACCCCCCATTTTTGGAAACTCCCACATGAACGTCAAAAAAAGATGCCAGCAAAGACTCTAGTCCGGCGCAGTCGCCCGCACCTGACACGATGCGGTTTCGCAGCAACGTATACATTTGTAAGGCTGAAAGCATACCTATGCATGTACTCGCATGTATGTGTGCCGATGTATACATACATACGGCTTTTCCCCAACTACATAAGTCTGTATGTAGGTATAAACATATACATAAACATATGTACATACATACACCCTTGACTGTGTGCATATATACCTCTACAAATCTGTACGTCTGCACATCGGTACTTTTAAAGTGTACATGTGCAGGTGTGTATACATATATATACACACCTACAAAGGTATTAACGGTTATGGTTCTGCCAGTGTTTATACACACGGAGTATCTATGCCTGTGTCTACTTCTCGACTTATATGTAGGCCCTATAGGCACCGGCATGCATATATATATATATATGCAAACATACATACCTACATACCCACATACATACATACATA